ATATATATATATATATATATATATTAAACCATAAAGACTAAAAATGATTTTAATAGATAAGTATAGGGACTAAAAAAGACTCTTTAAAACATGTCTTATTTTGTTAGAGTTACTACATATTAGATTTCTTGGTGCTTCGTGCTTCTTTTTTATTTATACCTGATGCTCAATTTTGAACATCTTTTTATCCTCACAAAATTGAAAGTATTACAAAGAGTTGCTATGAGATTGAAGTTCTTACTCGTGATTATAAAGTTGGAGTAAAAAAAAGTGTATCGTAGTAGTTTACATAATTTAGAAGATATTACTCGGTTGAAATAAGACTTGCACAAAGTGAAGAGATGAACAAAATATATCTTTATTTCTAACTATTCTCTAAAATACAATATCTACTTGACTTCAATCTATTTATTTAGTAAATTAATAGTTTTTGTAGGTACGTGTTTGTTAATAGACATTTTTGTCTTCCAAAATTGTACAACGTTGCCTGTTTTATACCCATCTCAAAATGCATGCTAGATATAAACTTTGATATACTAGTGCATGAGGAAGTATAGTAACAAAAAATAGACACGAATTGGAGATGATAAAACTTGTTGAGTTCTGCGAAGCAAAACGTAGAACAATCGTTACACACAACTTTTTATATTTCATATTTAAAGACATAAAAGAAGAGAAAATATACGACACTACTATAGTTAATTTCAGCAAAAGCCATGAGTGATATCACTAGCATTATCAACGGGTGGAATGACAAAGTGCCAAAGCTTTCCAATACCCCCAACCCTATATTTCATGCACAAGAACTCCTTCGCATACTCTTTCTCTACCTCCCTATCCACGTCATGAAGAAACACGTGCGTAACTCCCGATCCCTTTCTTGCACGCGCCATCATAGCCACCGAGTATATCACCGCCATCCTCCCCGGCGCTGCCGCGAAGTACCCTCTGGGACCATCGATCATGACCACATCCCAGTCATGATCGTAGACCTCATCTGGCATCTCGTCCAGTGCCAGCTTGCACTGCCGGTGACCTTTGAGGGGGTGACCGGCAGTGTCAGTTCTGGCATTGGCACAATCCGTTTTATAAGAGGAGAGGAGGGCGTGGGCCTCGGAGAGGCGCGTGGGGTAACGCACGGTGGAGGCGCGTAGGATGGGGAAGCGCTGGAGCGCGGAGAGGGTCCACTTGGGATCCTCCTCGAGGAACAGCGTGGTGCCACGTGGATTGAACGATTCCCACATGAGCGAGTCGTGGCCGAGTCCGAATACGAGGAAGTTGCATGGCGCGAGGGATTGGAGGACGTCGAAGGATCTTCGGATCTCGCCCTTGGTCTGCTGCGGGAGGGCGGTGGCGGTGGCGTAGTGGAGGATGGTGACGAGGGTGATCGGCGTGGCGTCGAACTCCGCCGCGACGTCGGTCTCGGAGGGGGTGAGGGGCACGGCGGCGGAGGAGGAGACGCAGAGGCTGCTGGGGTCGACGAGGGTTTGGCGGAAGAGGAAGAGGAGGAGGATGGTGGCGGCGACGGTGGCGGCGAGGAGGCTGAGGAGGCGGCGATTTGGGGAGTGGGGGGTGGAGGGGCTCTTCTTCTTGGCGGGGGGTTGGAATGACCTGAAAATCCAGGGTTGCATGTTGAAGTGAGGGAAGTTGCGTTGTTGGTGTGAATGAATGAATGAAGGTGAGTGAGTGAATGCGATGGAGAAGTTAGAGATGCATGGAGATGAAGGGCGATGTTCTAGCCACATATGTGGTTTCACTTTCCTATAATTAGCTCCATCTGGACATTGTCACATGGTTTTTGCATCATCAAATCTTAGCAATTAATTATAGTTTAAAAAAATTAAATAAAATACATACCGAGTAACTAATTAAGAGATGCATTGCGTTGAAATTTTTAAAAAATTATTATAAAAAGTCTAAGACTTTTTTTAATATAAAAAGTTATATGATTTTTAATTAAGACAATTGAAATATTTTTAATAATTTGGGATTTAAGGTTTAGAATTTTAAGAGTACATAAAAAATTTGGTAATATTTAATTAAGATAATTATAATATTTTTTTTAGCAATACGTCAAAGTTTAGTGGTATTTAGTTAAAAAAAAGTTTATTTAAAGAAGATTTTGTTGATATTAAAAAATATAAAGATTTTAATGAATTATTTTGATGAATGAATTTGTGAGACCTTTTAATAAAATTTAAGATCACTTTTATCATTTTTTAATTATCAAATTTGATATTTAATCAATATATAATATATTATTTTTACCTTTCTCATCATTGCATAAGTCATTTGATAAAATTCATTTGTATTTATGTTTTTTTTGAGGTAGCTAGTCAACCATATTTAATACAATTATTCCAAAGATTAAAAAAATAACCTTGTAACATTTATCTATTTGTATATGAGTTTATTATATGAGTTAATCACCTATACACTATCAGTGTAAAGTTTTTTTTACACCGACAACCAATTATATCTTTTAATTGTGCCATATCACTATAAATACATTTACTTTTAACACTGACATGACACAATTAAAAGATATAATTAGTTGCCAGTATAAATTTTTTTTACACTAACAGTGTATAAGTGATTAACTCTTACTATATTATTACATCTAACTTCTCTTCCATCTCATCTTCATTCCATTTTTATTTTGTATTTTGTATCATATAGTTTGTCATATGTATCCATTTTCCCCCATATTTTTCTTTTTTCTATTGACACACCTCCCCTTAAAATTGGAGTGTAAGTTTAACTTTTTCCTATATACGCCATGGCAAACAGCAATCCCATTTTTCTTTTCTTTCATTCTATTTTGTTTTTCATTTTGTATAGTGCATGTTTAACAAGCAATCCCCTTTTTGTTTCATTTGTTAAGTATGCTACATTTGGAAATCTAATGAGCAGGGTTAACTATCGATGCTTTGGCGATATTTTATCATTTGACCCCACTTAAAGGAAGAAAAAATAAAACATACCTGTTCTGATAATTTTAGGCTCTAGTAATTAATAAATGACTATTATTCTTGGATGTGTCATGTGCGATATTCCCTACTTATAAACGAGTCAATTGATTTAATACATAAATCGGTGTTTTAAATATATTTTGGGAGGCGAGAGTAGCACTCATATATATATGCAGTGGTAAATGCTGATGCTGGTAATGCTGCAACATGGAAGGCAATCAATATCATATTTCTTTTAATGTCATATACAGTCGCCATAACTTATTCAATTGCAATGACAAATGAATTATTCAGCGAAGATTGATAACACTTCATTTTTAACTAAAATTCTAGTCACTAGATTATATATTCTCTCTGAAGGGTATGTTTGATTCTTAAAAGAAAACAAAGGGGCAGAGTTTGGTTGCTGAGTTGTGTCTTCCCTCCCGTGAGCTGTGAATGTACAGCAATGTAGGTAGAAGAATTTTGAAAATCAGTAATTGTTGGCCCCAGAAAACACCTAATCTTGGAGTCAGACATGAATTCAAGTTAAAAATAATGCAACGTGCACAAAATTCTCAAGTGGTCTCAAACTTGTAATAACTTGCAAACCAAAATCCAAAGTTTACAGGAGTAGAAATTACAAATCCTGCAAAGAGGATGCGTGCAACTTTTGCAAGCTTGCTAGATATTCATTTGCGGCAGCAAGAAACATATGACAAGGTTTTAAGAGTGATTTCTTTCAATTCAAATCACAAAGTGGCTATTCAGTAATGGTGTTAGACGTTACAGAACAATATCAGACAAAAAGAAGCTCAAAATCTCCACCCCAAGCCAGGTGTATTTGCATGCGCACATTGCCAGTGTTAGGCAAACTTACAGCCCCAAGTGGGAGCACACAAAGATTATACTAATGTTTGCCGTTATTATATCATCCAGCATGATTCTACTGTTCTTATCTTCAACTTAATCAGCTTCTTCAAACTTTGAACACAAGACATCCACAGATTTTATACTGGAGCAGCATCGGAATATTGATCATTTAGCAATTAAGAAGGCAGATTAGTTTGAGTGCAAGCTTATTATCTCTTTGACATGGATGCTGCCGAGTTTGATCCACCCCCACGCTGAACAGCTCGAGGGACAAATGACAAGCCTTTGGGGCGACGGCCAAAGCTGATAGACGAAGGAGTGGAGTCAGAAGTGCTCAATTTAGAGACTGCTGAAACAAGGTCATCCATGGCTGCATTTTCCACTTCCATCATTCCTGATGCATCCTCCTTACAAACAGCTTTTTTGCGTTGGGACTTCAATCTATGTTTCTTTGAAGGCCGAGCCTTCTTGAAAAACTCAAATGAGGTGGGGAATTTATGCTTGTCAACCAGATGCTGCTGCCTACGGTTGTAGCTTTTGAATTTCAAACCACAACTTTCCACTAAGCATTCATACTATATAACAGACAAAAGTGTGATATTAACAAGATGGTCATCTAAATAGAAAATTAAATATGTGGATGCACAAAAAGATAACAGGCTAAACGATGAACTCTCGAAAAGAAATAACACATATAAAGCATGTAAGGCAGGCACAAAGGTTTAATCACTGTTTGAAATAACCAAATTGTAAATGAAGTTTTCTTGTTGACATTTGTAAGAGTATAAATTTAAGCAAGAAAAAAATGGGGAGATACTTTATTGAAGAAACTAGAAGAAACAAAAGCAATATTGAATTTTCCACACCAAAGAAGGCAACAAACATCCAACCAGTCAATTTTTCAACAAAGACGCAGGGATATAGGACAGATGCAATACTACAAGGAATTGGATCATGATAGCACAATGAACCATAATTACACTTATATACCATATCGTAACCACGCGCAACTTTTGCCTGAAAGAAAGAATCATGCACTTCAGATACATGTATGCTGAGCAAACGGGACGTAGGATAGACTCTGGAACACACAGAACAGGATGCAGTATGCCTTGCATTGTAGTGATCTTCAAAGTCCTCCATCGAAGTCAAGCGTGCACCACAACCAACAATGGGACAAAAGACTTCCCTGCACAAAAGGATAGGCTTTGAGACAAGGCACACATTATGGTTAAAATCTACATCTGTCTCTATAGCCAACACTCATTTAAGATGTATTCCTTTTATGAAAAAAAAAAAACCCTCAAGTTTTAGGCTTTATACACCTTATCAATATACATTGGTTCCTGCTGTTACTTAATTTCTTATATCTTAACCCCTAAAAGACTTAAGTTTATGTCCTTATACATATTCTACAACAGAAGTAAGGCCCTGACAGTAATACCAACAAAATTGTGTTTTTCCACTTAAAAGCAAAGAAAGAATTAAACTAGAATTATATAAAATAAAATCTTTCACCAAGAAGCAAGTAGAATAACAAAAAACCATAGTTAGAGAACTAGAAATAACAATCCATCATGAACATGAAGCCCAACATTTGAAAATCATGTATCAGCATTAATTCAGAGCTCAAACAATATGGTTAAGAATATATGAAAACAACATACAAGGATCAGTACCTTCCTTCTTCCTCTTGCATCCATTTCTCAAGCTGTTGCTTCTCTTCAGTTAATTCCAAAGCAACCTGTGAAATACAAGGGGTAAGTAACATCAACAATTATCATCTCAAAATTAAGTATTTATATTAAGAAATAATGAAACAGACAGAAAGGTAAAACAACTGTAGCACCGAACACCGAAGAATTTGAAAACGAAATTTTTTTTTAAAAAAAAACCTGTTTGGCGAGAAGTTCTCGTTCGAGGTTGCCGGGAGCGAAGAAAGGAGAGTCTGGTCGGAACCTGCGACGAAGCGGTTTCCAGAAGGGAAACCCTAATTGCTGATTCTGATTGAGTTCCACTTCCATCGCCATCTTCACACTATTCAATCACACTGTTTTCCTTCCACATTCAATTTTGAATTCATTCGGGACTTCAGAGTTTAGACCGATGATTTGTTTCTTTCGGACTCTAGTTTTGGGCCTTCTCAAAACTTGTCCACATTCAAAGCCCATCTCGTAATTTCTTTATGGCAGATATATATACACTTTTTATCTTTTATAAATATACCTTTAATTTCTTTTTATTTTTTTTAAATAAAATTTCTAAAATATCTTTCAAACTAAATTCTTATTTTAAGTTTTATTTTTAAATTTTTTTTATTCACCTTTTTCTTTCATCATTTTTCTTCTTCTTTCTTCTTCTTTTTCTCATTCTTTTTTTTTGTTATCAATCTAGTCATTCTTTGATGATTTTATTCTTTTTTGTTTTTCATTCTTGATTTTTTTTCTTTTACAATCAACATAATCATATTCTATTTTTTTATCTTTTAAATTCTATTTTTCAGTTTCTACTCTATTCTTTCTTAAACCCTAATTTTTCATTCAATCTTCATTATTCTCTACATTCAATATAAGGTACAAATTAATATATTAAATTACATTCTATATTTATATATATATTTTAACTTATTTAACATTACTTATGGACAACAAGAATATACTACTTCGATCGTAGGCAACGGTGGTGGATGACGGAGATAAAGAAACACGTAAGTTAAATTTGTCATACTTCCAGAAAATAAGATTCGAAATGTTAATTTTAGTATTCCAGAAAGTACTTCCCGGAATAGTAAAATTATTGTTCTAGAAAACATTTTTCGGAAGTGTGTTTTTTATATAATTCCGGAAAATACTTTTCAGAATAAGAATTACTATTATAGAAAGTATTTTCTGGAACAAAAACTTTATTATTCCGAAAGTACTTTTCGGAACAAAAACTTTACTATTGCAGAAAGTACTTTCTAGAACAAAACTTTCTTATTATTCCATTTTTTTGATCATATCAACAAACCTGCTTATATATTATTTTCTAAAATACTATATTTTTCTTTTTAGTACAATTATTATATTTTTATCTCTCATTATAGTTTATTTATTTTAAATTTTATTTTTATTTGTATGTGCACATGAAATACATGTTAGGAAAATGTATGAGGTGAGGAATATATCAACCAATGGAACAACAAATAAGACTATTGACGGTAGTGGTGTATTTAACACTAAAGAGGTAATTGAACAATCTATTATTTTAGTTAAGTTATCAATATATAATAATAATAATTGTAATTCTATTTATAAGTTTAAGTTTTTCCATCTCGAGATGCTATGTTGGATTGAGCACGACATGTTGCAAAAGAAGTGAATTTGTCCTTATTATTTTTAGGTCAGATACAAATATAAGACATGATAAAAGGAAGACATTTGTAATTTTTGAGTTATGAAAGAAGTGGAAATTTAAAAGATCAAACAAAAATGCATTATCTAATAGGATGACTAGTATTAAAAAATGTGAGTGCCCTTTCAAACTAAGGGGAACAACTTCAAAAAAGGCTGGAGGATGGACCCTTAAGATAATGTGTGGTTACCACAACCATGATTTAGCGGAAATATTAGTGGGTCATTCATATGTTGGTCGATTGAGTGCTGAAGAGAATTCTTTAGTAGGTGAAATGACAAAGAACATGGTAAAGCCAAGAAACATACTACTTACATTGAAAGATCGTAATGTGCATAATGTCAGTACTATTAGACACATTTACAATTATCGACAAGCTTATCGATCTTCTTTGAAAGGTTCTAGAATAGAAATGCAACATCTGTTAAAATTATTAGAACGTGATAAGTATGTGTATTGGTATAGAAAGGTGGATAATTATGATGTTATCAAAGATATATTTTGGTCACATCTAGACTCCATTAAACTTTTTGCTACTTTTCATACTATTTTGCTCATAGATAATACTTATAAAACCAACAAATATAGGTTGCCATTACTTGAGATTGTTGGCGTCACTTCAACAGAGTTAACATTCTTTGTGGCATTTGCTTATGTGATGTTTGAGAGAGTTGATAACTTCACTTGGGCACTACAAAAGTTAAAAGGATTGATTACTAATGACAATGACACACCATAAGTGATTGTAACAAATAGAGACCTTGGTTTGATGAAGGCCTTACAAATGATATTTCCTAGCTCTACTAATTTGTTATGTCGTTTTCACATCAACAAGAATGTGAAGGCTAAATGCAATATGGTAGTTTACCCAAAGGAGAAATGAGACTTAGTAATGGATGCATGGGATGATGTTATGAATTCTTCTAATGAGGATCAATATGTTAAACATTTGACATTATGTGAGAATATTTGCTCAAATTTTCCTATTTTCAATGATTATGTGAAAGATTCATGGTTGATTCCGAACAAGGAAAAATTTGTCACTGCATGGACAAACACAACAACCAATAGGTATTTGCTCAAATTTTCCTATTTTCAATGATTATGTGAAAGATTCATGGTTGATTCCGAACAAGGAAAAATTTGTCACTGCATGGACAAACACAACAACCAATAGGTATTTGCTCAAATTTTCCTATTTTCAATGATTATGTGAAAGATTCATGGTTGATTCCGAACAAGGAAAAATTTGTCACTGCATGGACAAACACAACAACCAATAGGTATTTGCTCAAATTTTCCTATTTTCAATGATTATGTGAAAGATTCATGGTTGATTCCGAACAAGGAAAAATTTGTCACTGCATGGACAAACACAACAACCAATAGGTAAGCTTAAATTTATACTGCTACTACAACTAACAACCAATAGGTAAGCTTAAATTTATACTACTACTACTACTAACAAATAGGTAAATTATACTACTAACAACCAATAGGTAAAAGAATCCTAAAAAGAAATGTAGAGATGAGAGAAAGATGTTAACAAAACAGAGAAACAATGAGGGATAATAAACTAAAAATAATAAGAACAAAAGAATATAGAATAAGGTGTAGATAGTGAGGAGAATTGCTTGGAGGAAAAACGCATATGGCCTCACATCTTTTCCTTTGACACTAAACCGCGAGCTTATATATAGCTTATAACAAAAAAAAAGGAAGAAGATATTGCAAAAATTGAAAAGGATAGAAGAGGAGGTAGAGAGATCAGAGAAGAAAGTGATGAAGAAGAGAAGAAGAAGGGTGGAAAAGAAAGAAAAAGGGAGGTTCCCGGAAAAGAAAGAAGAAGGGAGGTGCAGAGAAAAGAAATAACAAGAGAGGTGCAAATATGAAAATTATAAGTTCCAAAAAATATTAAGGGTAATTTAAGAATTTAATATATTTTTTTTAAAAAAAGGAGTGTTCAAAAATATTTGATTTGGTTTAGTTAGGTTCATCATATGATGATGAGACCTAGCTAAATCAAATCTATGAAAAATTAGGAGCAAAATGAGTCCAATATGCAAAATTTTGCCTAGACCCAGTTCTGGCCCAATTACTAGTCACACCCTCAAGTATTGCTAAATGTCACCCCCTTTTCTCTACTGAAAAAATACAACATGAATGTATCAACTAGGGAGGTTAAATGGAGTTAAACTCTCCAAGTAACCTACCTTGAAATCAATATACAAACACTAGAAAAAGCAAGTAAAGTGCCTCACAAATACAAAGGCAAACATAACCTATATAAAAGAGCTACTATATGTACAAACATAAGAAAAAGGTCTTTAAGATCATCCCATTCCTCTTGGTTCTTTTAGTATATCACCTCTTGGATTCCTTGGCCTTGGCCATAATCTATCATCTTTAAATATAGTGTATTAAGCTAATAATACATTATATAGTATATTAAGCCACCCTGAATATAGTGTTATATCTTTAAATGGTCGATAATCTCTATGATGACTATAAGGCATCCAACAAACTTCATTAATGATGATTGCATCTAGTTCCCTCCTATACGGAAGCACGTGGCCTATACTTTTGCTATGTGACCAACGACTAGCATGAGAATTTTGTTCCAAGTATTCCATGGACAATTGATGGGAACCAATATGAGGAGCTCAAATATCCATGCTTGTTTCATAACCCAAATTAAATTAAATAAAGTCAAAAGAAATACAAAATTTTTATGTTAAGCATAAAATAGTATGAAAAGTTTTCACCTGTAAAGGGTCATGTAGCCACCTATCTGCTCAGTGATATGGACACAAGCATCACCCAAGTACTCATACAAGAATGTCAAGGCAGCTACACCCCATGCATAATGACTGCAAGCTGAAAGGTCATGAAATAGGTCCAAGAATGCTACATCCACATATGTTGCACTCTTGTAATTAGAAAAAATCGTGTAACCAACCAAGAATAGAAGAAAAGTCCTTGTAGCAAATTCCCAACGCTTTTCTTGGCACCTCGCATCATAAACATCTCTCAACCAACTCATGTAAACATGAACACCTCTTGTAGCCCTTATCTCAAGGATTGCATCCTTGTGTAAGACTCCTAACAAATCCTCTAAGTATACACATGCAATGTCATGGTCCATGACCCGATTGACTAAAAAGTGCACCTCTAATTGGTAGGTTCAATAAGCATGAAACATCATCAAGAGTGATGGTCATCTCTCCTATTGGCAAGTGGAATGAGCTTGTCTCTGGATGGCATCGCTTAATAAATGCAAACACAAGACCTTTATCCACCATCTGGTAGTTGCAAAGTAGAAGTGATGCCAAGCCAGACTTATCTACCAATTTTTGTATTTGGTGGTGCATGATGACAAAACCTTTTACTTTTCTTCCATGATTGACAATCTTAAGCTCACCACGATCCTAATGTTTTATGATCTTGTCATTATAAAACTTTATTAAACATCAAACTTAAAAAATCCAACAACATTAATTACCTCGCCACTCCATAAGCGGGTTGCAACATGGTCTGAAAAATTCCTAAGGACCGAAAAATCCTCATGGCCTCCTAGAAAGGACCTCGGTGCTTGAGGGTTCACAACACCATCTAACATGACCTCTTGAGGCTCCTCATGATCATTGACTATAGGTACTTGAGCATTCACATGTTGCCTATCTTTTGTTTGTCGTTGACGCTTTCGTGCA